AATAATTAATGTAATTTATGGGAGTAACCAATGCATTGATTGGTTACTCAAATCAATCAGAAGTAAATAGTAATTGTTTAGTAAATACGCTAGAATAACTATAAATACTCATGATTTTTATAATAAAAATAGATTCAATTTAACTTAAGACAAGGTTACGTCTTTTACTTGAATCGTGTTCTATGCGGCATTTAGATGCTGACAGGACAATAAGCGGCTGAAGAGTTTATCAATACTTACCTCTGCCACTAATAGGTCGTATCTACTTACATTGGTCGATAGGTGATCCTTGAATCCTTTCCAGGAAACAGGATACTGATAATTCATTGAGAAGACTTCAACAACATTATAACCTGCACATAACATTATAGTAATGTTTAATTTCTTGATGATGACTTTAGATTAAAGTTGAAATAGAGATAAAATAAAAATTATTTCAAAATTAAATTGTGGTTTCTTTTTCTTAATTTTAATTTCTAACAACCATTAAAAATGTTTCGACCAATTCGCCCGAAAAAATCATTTTATTAAAATTGTTTGGTCACAAAATAATTAACATTATTTTATATATTTATTTATTTATTATTTTATAATTATAATTTTACTAATCTTACACGATAACTTATAAAATTTGCGAAGTATTTACAATACTTACTGTTAACTTAGTACTAAAGGCATGGCTTGAATGCCGTCTAAAAATTTTACAGACACCTGAATTTTGCTAGTTTTTTTGTTTTCTTCAGAAGAACGCTTTATTCCCATTTTTGTGTTTCATTCCATACGCTGTGCTTTTTTATTATCCACGTTTCAGACAAAATTTTTTCGTAATAGAACCAGAAGCATGAAATCCAACGCTATGATGAGGTGTTAATAACACATTATTCTCGTCAAACCATGTTTTCAATATTTGTTTAGTTTCTTCTACACATATCTATAATATGCGTGCCTTTATATTCAATATGCATGGATTTCTCATTAACTCTTTCTGAAAAATATTGACTTGCATTCTGCACATTTCAAAGGATGTATCTGATGTATTAATTAGAGATGTTTCAGACAAAATGTTATATTTAAGTTTGGTGTGTTATTTGATAAAAAATGCGAATATATTTGAGGTATTAAAAGCAAAAGCCGCATATTAAATTTCAACACCATAATAACTCAAAGCACACAGTAAATATGGTTAGGGTATGGGTTGGTCGAAACCTCAGGAAAACGATATATATTCTAATGTAATATTTCAAATTAAGTTATTTCTAAAATAAGATTAATTTATAAAATAAGTACGACAGAAGCTCTGAAAATACCCATTCTTCACTTAATACTTAAATACTTCAAAAGTGAAATTTGATACCAATAGTTTTATGCAAAAGTTCGTTAATTTTATAAAAAAACGCTGTAAGTACCCATCAAATAAAGTTCATATTAAACAGCTTTATAGAATTGGTTTAAATAATTACTTGGAAGTCACAAATGATGTAAGATTTGTTTATGTTGTATGAATATTCTTTTTTTTTCACAACTGCTGAAATTTTGTTTGTTTCCATTCCTATGTGATATAATATTTATTACAAATTGATTATAAAAAATCTTTATATATAAACAAAAGACAGTATTTTTTCTATTATAAGTTAAACAAATGAATTTTATTTTAATGTGTAAACTCATTCTTGACTGTATGTGAGTGCTTGACATGAAAATTAATATAATTATATGTAGTATGGTATATGTACATTCGTAGTAAAAAGTATTTACACAACGAAAATTCTTGTGCATATTGCATTAAAACATGTTATTGTTGAATGTAAGTTGCAAAATAATTTTTTGTTGTCACTTAGTTTTATCTATGCAAAACTAAATAAAAAAAGAATTGGAAAGATAACTAAATGTTATTTTTATTGTTACGGGATGTGATACTGCGACCGTCGGGACTATTGCGCCACCTTCTGGGTTTCGAGTAGGTCTCTAAGCCCCGTTGCGTCATTAAAAAGTAGTACTGAGTTTTATTGCCCCTTCCGTAAGAATATACATTCCTAGGAGCCTATTCCGTATGTGCATTAGCGCAGGGCAATTCTAACAGCACATGTTTGACCGACTCCTCATTCTCTTCGCAGAATCTACAGTTTGCATCCGTAAGTATATCCAGTCTTCTAAGGTTATGTTTTAAAGCTTACAGTGCCCTGTTAGGATTTCTGTGATGATTCTAACTTTTTCTTTTGATAAGTTCATACAATCTTGGTATCTCTTATTGTTATAGACACCAATAAGTAACTTGGATTGTTTTAATTGTGGTGTACCAAGAAGAATTTTTCTTAGTAAAACTAAAACCGAAAAAGAGACGACAAAAAAACACGTTGTTTTTTAATTCGAGTTTGATCAAGACTGATCGTTTTTATTAAAAACTTACATTGTGCATTATTGTGCGTTGTTTATGAACATTATATATTTTATGTTATTTTGTATTGTTACCCAACATGTGGTATATTATCCCAGTAATAATAAAACCTGACTGTTCATATGAAAAAAATAGAAGTAAATGGACTAATGCTTATTAATAGTCAAAAGTATTTATACACATAGTTTCGCTTCAAAATTATTTACACAAAACATTAATTGAATTTTTTTCTTAAATAATGAATTTTTTAAAAAAATTTGTATGCTTATTTAATTAATATAACTGAAATTTAATTACACCACCTTTGGCATCAATAACTGCCTGCAACCTAGTTGGAATTGGTTCAATCAACTTGCAAGTCAATTTGGACCGAATTTCTTTTATTTCCATTATGGTATCTTACGCTTTCAATTTTTATCAACAGCGCTTTGCTTTGCTTTTTTATGAAGTCCCAAACATTTTCAATGACATTAAGATCAGGGCTCTGTGGAGGCCACGGAAGAACAGTATGATTCAACTCTGAAACTTTGGTTAGCTCTACATCCTTTATGACATGGTGTATTGTCATGTTGTGGACTCTCGTTATTGGTTGGAAGGAGTCTATTTTCTGACGTTAAGGTATGGTTATTTAAAATACCAATATAACCGGACTAATTTAAGGTACCATTTTTGGACACTAAATTTTCAAATCCATGGCATGATAAACATTCCCAAAACAGCACAGTGCCACCTCCAAATCTGTTATATGGCTGCACTGCATTATTCTTTTGGTGTTGTCGTAAATACTTGGAATGCTTGCAAAATGAACCCTAGAACTGAAATGCAAGCAATTTTCTCCGATGATGTTGCATTTTTGACAAGACTTATTGTAGTATTTTTTATGACTGGTCCTAATAATCTGTATTTTTTTGATTAAAGATAAGGTTGCGCCTCTCTTCAAATTTTTCAAATTTCCGCATATGTTTTTTTAACTAAATACTAATTTACATTGGGTAAATATTTTTGACCCGAAAAAAATGTGTGTAAATACTTTTGACAACTAATAAGCATCAGTGCATTTGCTTCTATTTTTGTCATATGAACAGTTAGTTATCTTTTCAATTCTTTTTTTATTTAGTTCTGCATAGATAAAGCTAAGTGACAACATAATTTTTTTTGCAACTTACTTCTAATAACAAAAAAAACTTTTTTTATTGCAATATGCACAAACATTTTCGTTGTGTAAATACTTTTGACTAGAACTGTATATGGGTCATTCTTTTACAACTCGGACACCTTTTTGACCTCATGATCTCCGATTTGGCTGAAATTTTTTTTATGAGTTCCTTTCATAAAATAAGAAAATCCGTACCTAAAAAGTTTCATTTTTATGTAGAATTAAATGATAAATTCAATTCAGAAATAAAAAGTAAACATTTTTGTATCGTTTTCCTTCGAAAATTGATTTTATGGTACTATGGTGCGTATGAGTAATGTGAAGGACACCTGATTAATTAATTTTTTTTAATTACTTCTAAAATTAATATCACAGTGGAAATATTTATTTTTGAAGTAGAATTTATATATTAATTTGAATCAAAAATAAAAAAAAATAATTTGTGTGACATATTCCTTTTTTTTTTTTACTGAAAAATCGTGTGTATGTGTTTGGTGTGATATGAAAGATAAATAAATTTTTAAAAGTACTTCTAATTACAAATATCGTCCTGAAATTTTTGGGTTTTATGTAGAATTTTATTACTAATCGAAATCAAAAATATTATATAAGAATATATGTAGTATATTCTTTGAAAATACATTCAATGAAAATGTAGTACGCATGTGCTTGATGTGTTTTGCGGGAGAAAAAAAAATATTAAAAACTGCCAAAAAATAATGGTTAATTGAAAATTTTTATTTCGTAGTAAAATTTAAAACTGAATCTAAATAAAATATAAAAAACGAAAATTTAAAATATTGTTTTGAGAAAAATTTTTTTTTGAAATTTAACGGTTAATATTAGTACTTAAATATTAACAATTTTAATTAATTTTTTAATTAATTTTATAAAAGCTCAATCAATTATCTTTAAAACGCTGTAAATTTCAAGTTTCTACCTTTTATAGAACTTGAGATATAGCCATTTGAAAATGTGTCTACTATGTCAATTCTCAAAACCCCATGGGTCCATATCTCCTAGAAAAAAAATCACAAAATTTTTTCCCGAGATACGGATTTTCTTATTTTATGAAAGAAACTCATAAAAAAAATTTCAGCCAAATCGGAGATCATGAGGTCATTTTTTGCCAAAATCCGTCCGGTTTGTAAAAGAATGACCCATATACATATAAGTTGTCAAAAACCTAAATTATAGGAAAATATGTCGCGATTAGTCGCTTTAAGCTATGATACAAAATATAATACAATAATACAAACGATATTATTTTATAAGGGGATTAAGCGCTATACATCTAAATTTCAATATTTCGTTGAGTAAACAATTGGTCGCTTTAAATGTTGTCGTTATCAACGATTTCGACTGCATATTATTTTTATTAATGTTTTAAATAGATGATTGTAATTTATATTGTAATAACACATTTACACAGCATTTAACAATAATTTCCTTTTTTTAGGACCTGGTGGCTTTTCGGAATATATTCTATTCAGAAAATCGTGGGAAGCAAAAGGCTTTGGATTTACTTTACGCGGCCAAAACGATTTTAAACTAGAAAAATTTACTGCAGGTTTCCCAGAATCTTTTGATCCTTACTATGGCGTGAAGGATAATGGGGATATTTATGATAAGGAAAATCAAGACTCGTTTGCAGACTATATTTTTAAGCATTCTGAAAATGGTGTCCATTTTGTTATGGCGGATGGTGGTTTTTCAGTTGAAGGTCAAGAAAATATTCAGGAAATTCTTTCAAAACAACTTTATCTCTGTCAGTGTTTAACAGCGTTGAAAATTCTTTGCGAAAATGGAAGTTTTGTGTGCAAATTTTTCGATTTATTCACACCATTCAGTGTTGGGCTAATATATTTAATGTATAAGTGTTTTGATGTTATATCAATTATAAAACCAAATAGTAGCAGACCAGCTAATTCCGAACGTTATTTAGTATGTAAATGGAAAAAAGCAAATACAAGTGTTATTTGTTCGTATTTAGATTATGTGAATAGTTTTATTAATGAAAGTCGCGGAGATGACGTAATTGAAATTGTAAATTTGGATCTTATAACAAATGATTGTGAATTTTTTAATTACATCACAGCATCTAATAACAACATTGGTAGAAATCAAATAATTGGTTTAAAAAAAATTTTAGCTTACTATCAGAATCCACAACTTCGAGAAAGCAGGCAATCAGAGATTAGAAAACAATGCTTAGGATTATGGAAACTTCCCGACAAATTACGACAGGCTCCTGAAGTGAAGTCACCTGAAAAAATATTTGAAGAACTTTTAGGTAACTGGTATGAAGACAAAGTGTTACTTTCATCTATTCCTGTAGATCTTTATTCCATCGAAACTTTGCACAAAAATATTGACAGTATCTACGATTGGTACTTTGTGCCAATAGGGAGAGGTGAAACTAATCTTAATAGTTGTAGCATTTTTCTTAGTAAGTCTCGCGGAAATTTGCTTCGATATACTGATAATAAAAAATGGGAACCTATTGAATATATTTTTGAAATATCTCCTAAGTCACTTTTCTATGGTGAAATTGTATTTGAATATAATGGAGAAGGTAGAACGCAGACACGTGCTTGTGGGTTACATATTATTGACGCTATAATACTAGGAGGAAAGGATATACGTAGGTTGAAATTAAGTGATCGAATTAAAATGTGTCAAAAATTTAGTTTAAGCTTAAATAAACCATATAAGGACGGAAATATTGGTTTTATTCGAAGCAAACCTTTGTATAAACTAGAAAAAATAAATCAATTTTTTGATGAAATGCTACATTATACACTGAAAGACAATTCTCAACGACTCGGTTATGCATTAAATGATAAAAAGTTTTTTGTTCCTGGTGGAATTTTGTTCTTTAGTGAAGTTTGTCATCTATTTTTTTCAAAGATGTCAAGTTCAAGAAACATGTTGTACTACTTTAATAAAACCGACAATAAATCTTATTATATGGATTCTATGCCATCCGCATTGAAAAATACATTATATGCATCTTTTAGAAATAGTTTTATTAGACGTATGTTATGGAAATGGACAAACATCACACAAGTCGAAAAACATGGCATACAAACAGATTCGAATTTACTTTATCGCAGAGATATATATAACTTTGTATACAACAAACAAGATTCTGTAATAATAAACTAAAAACAAAATTCGTATAAACATAATATAAACAATTGTATTATATGTGTATATAAAGTATGCAGTGAAAAACGTATAAACCATTTATTATCCCTTTACAAATAAACGAAGAAAAAATAACGTATTGTAATTAGGATTGCATCAGTCGTACTATTTGGCACCAATCCAAACTAAACCATTACTAAAGTGTTTTGGCTCTACAAAGCTACAATTTGTAAGAAGAAAAATGTGCAGTTTTCGAGATATTAGCGGTTTAGGCAACATGACGGTTTTGGGGTGATAAATATATTTTTTCACAAAAAGAAATTAACTAAAAATATTTCTATTGGTATTCTTAAAGTGCAGAGTTTAGGCAGTATATTTTAAGATGTACTTAGGGCATATTCGATTTTGAATTTTGACTAAATTTTAAAAAATCTTGTACTACTTTTATAATGTACATAAATAAAAAATTTCTTGAAAACATATCTATACTTATGTGTTACAGGATAAGGAATTTTTGGTTAAAATATATTGATTATATATATATATATATATTTTATTTTATACTCTTTTAATTTAAGAGGACTTATTACGTCAAGAACTTATTTGCAAATTCTTTCCTTTATGATGAAAGAAACTTTGCTATCTCATATTTTCTCAAAAATATTTTAAAATAAATTAGATTTTATTGGAAGGAGGTTTTGTCTGAAAATATATACGTAACTTAGATATCTGCTTCTGATTAACACAATTTTTTTGCGTTTTAAAACATATGAATTTAAAACTCAGAAAAAAAGTAAAACTAAGTATTATTATAGAATATATTAACGTAGAGATTTTATTGTTTTTTTGCTTACAATTTTTATTTGTTTTTTTTAATGTAACAATAAATACTGAGCATTTTAATTTAAAAAAAATCATATATAAAGGTTGCTTTTGTTTCGTTTCGACCGACTATTTATAACATATATTTTTCGTTGTATTAAAGGTGATATAATTTTATATAGCTAAAATATCAGTTTATTTTAGATTAAACAAAAAATGTTTTATTATTTTTTGTAAAATTTCAATTTGAGTTTGTATAACTCCAATATCTGTTCAAAAATGTGCATTTATCTTTTTGAGCTTGTAAATTAGATTCTGCTAATTTTAGAAATACTTTTCACATTTTCAATTTTATAAAATATACAACTTTTTAAATTAGTCATAAAAATATATTTGTTCAACTAATTTAAGATGTATGTATTGTTTTACGTTTATCGATGAACTCATTCAAAAATATATAAATAAAATTATTAAAGAAAATATTTGATTTTTTTTCTACTTTTTTGAAGAATTACTCTGTACCCAGATAGGTACAAAATACTGAGAACTAGTATGATAAATTATTTTTTGTGTTTTCAATTTGAGAATTGCTCTCTATATATTTCAATATAAGCATAAATAGTATCTTCATCTGATGTTTTATTACATTTGTGAAATTTAAATGATCTGTTTTGTAACATGCTTTAACATATTAAATAAGACTTATTAATTATTTTCTTATGTTTTTTTGTACAGTATTAAGAGATTCAGGCGAAAGTTTGCAGTGGTTATTTCTGATGTTCCATCTATGCCCTTGCAGTAATTTTTAATGGACACCCGTTAGTGCTTTTTGTATTCTGTTTTTTTAAGTCTTTGACTCAGCCTAGTATACGAGTCCGATGACCTTTCTGATGATTTGACCCTGTTAAATAATTTCTTACTAAGCACACGAAGTGATCCTAGATCTTACATCCGATGGTGGCTTCATCTTCCCTTCCTGTTGCAAAACTGAACTACTTGCTGTAAAAAATTTAACCATGGCCTTAGAGCTTTCATTTTAAGACTCGCCATTTATGTGTATATCTAACAAAAACTTAGAATAATATCCAAAATTTCTTTTCAAATTATTGTTATATAAATCGACTTTGAGTCTACATTTATTACACTTAGTTAAGTTCCTAAGATAAACTCTAGAATGTTTTTTAGACCTTTTCATTGGTATTAGTTATTTCCCACAATGTGTATTGATAATTTGTTTCATGAAATACAAACAAAAGCTTTCAAGCTCAAAACTAAAAGAAATGTGAAACGCAAATTGCTGATAAAGAGCTCTCTCTCGCCCAAACATCATTACCTGGCAACATGCCAGCAACATTTTCCAACTTCTACCTACTTACAACACAAGCAACAAATACTGTAACAATGTCAACAGCAACATCAACATCTATAAGTCTCTCTATCGTAAGCTCGTCGCATACTACATCAACTACTTACTCAACTCTAAGCTGCGCTAGTAACGCTGATGATGTAGATATTGAGGAAGAAAAAAGTGAGTTCAACAAAAATACAAAAATTAACAAATCTCCACCAATCTATGTGCAAGGTGTTGAAGAAATTAAAACTTGTGGCGGTTGCATATTCACCATTCAATATTGAAAATAATATGAGTTGGCCATGCAAACATGAACAAATAAAATATTGAAAATAAGATGAGTTGGCCAGGCAGCAGAATTGTTAAAAAGCGAAGAATATTTTTATTTAGAAAAAACGATTGTCATTCGTACACGTATAATTATTGTACTCGAAATTGATTTATTTATAATAAATAAACATTAAGAATTAAGTAGGGCAAAGCCTACAAACCCTAACCAATGTTCTTACTGAGTGTATCGAAGAGAATTTCGCACTAAAAGCACTAACAGATAATGAGGTAAGAATACAAGCTGTCGATTCATTAACCTACACAAAAATAGTCAAAATGCTTCAAGAAAAACCACTAAATTTCATACTTATAAACCCAAAAACAAAAAAAGGCTAAGGGGTGTACTAAGAAATATTCATCCGTCAGCAGACATTAACGACATTAAACAAGAGCTACTTGAACTAGGCCACCGAGCAGAACATATCCAAAATATCAAACATAGGCTTACCAAGTGACCATTACCTATATTCTCAATTGTTTTAAAAAGAAATTTTAACAATAAAGACATTTATAATATTACAGATCTTCCCCATACAAAAATTATTTTTAACTTCCTTATCCTAAGAGAATCATATCCCAATGCACCAATTGTCATTACTGCACAAGAAATCCTGTTTGCGTTAAATGTGCAGCCAAACATAGAGCTGTTAACTGTCCTATAAGAAAATGGCCTAAAATATGCCTTATGCAAAGGAAATTATACAGCAGGCTATTAAGGCTGCGAAATATACAAAGCTCTGCTAGTAAAAGGTTTTCCTCCTTTTAGACAAAAGAAATCAAACCTTCCTGAAAATCAATGCACATATTTACGATTAATAAAAAAATGACACGCTGAGACTGCCAATATCTCTGCCTCGAGTCACCTCCCAGTAGCTAATAATACTGAATCAAATACAACAAATTCAGAAATGAATGAATTTAAAGAAATGTTTAACCATTTTATACAACATATAAATAACATGATGAATGTCATAACCCAGCTCTTAACAAAAATTAATATCGCACCATGATTTAAGATGAGCTCAAAATAATCGAATGGAATGCTAATAGTCTACACCAACACTCTCTTGAATTAAGACAATTCTTGAATGAAAACGAAATTGATGTAGCACTGATTTTCAAGGATATACTTTTTACACTACGAACCACCCTGATGGAACTGGCCATGGCGGCTCAACAATTATAAAAAGCAAAATTAAGTGCACAGAACTCGAACATTATTAAACTGATCATATACAGGCCACATTATTAGAAATCAATGATAGTGTTGGCCCCATAACCATATCAAGATTTTGGGTCCAGGATTCATATGCTGGGAAGCATGTAAACAGTAGTTCTCGAATAACTAATACGAAAGGAAAAAGGCTTCTAGAATCAATAAAAAGCAATAACTGCCAATACATAATACTGGTTGCCCATCATACTGGCCTACTGATCTAAATAAAATATCAGATCGTATCGTAACTCCGTAAAAAATGACAAACAACTAGGTCAAGTCAAGACAAAAGGATCCTTAACAAAATTCAAAGAAAGCTAATACATGAAATCATGCACAAACCTCCACTAAGAAAAGAAAATGGAACATCGGCTAGATCAAATAGTGATAAGGCGAATCTTCTGGCCAATAACTTTGAAAAATTTTTTTACTAACACAACTAGCAAAAAAAAAACAGCTACTACCAAAAGCAGAAAACCATTTTACATCAGATATCAACAACACGATAGACTTGTAACTATTGTGGAATTAATAAAATTAATCAAAAACGATAAAACCAATGGAAAAGCGCCAGGTTATGATTTGGTAACAACTAAAATTCTTAAGGAGCTACCAAAATATGCTATTAAATTTATTAAAAATATTTGTAACGCTGCAATGAGGTTGAAATATTTTTCTAAAGTGAAGAATCATAACCCTATATCTAAACCTGGGAAAAATGCTACTTAACCGATTTCTTATAGATCCATTAGTTTATTGTCTAAACTTTCTAAAGTTCTTGAAAAAATCATCTACGTTCGACTAGAACCAATACCACCAGTTTGGATTTCGGTGCAATCATTCAACAATACAGCAAATCCATAGAGTGGTGAACAAAATCTTAACAGACTTAGATGAGGGTCGCTTTTGTGTTGGTGTATTTCTCGATGTTGAAAAAGCACAAAACACTTTTACACAAGATAAAAAGAATGTTACCTCTTAACTTTTACGAACTCATTAAAAGTTATGTTATTGAACAATATTTCTGTGTTAGATACAAAAACGAGTATTCTACAATTAGAAAAGTCCAAGCAGGTATCCCCCAAGAAGTGTATTGGACCCCCTACTGTACCTACTCTATACTTCAGATATTTCTGAACGAGACAGTAAAAACTCAATGCTAACAGCGTTCGCAGATAACACAGCACTGCTTACCTAACAATTAATACCACTAAAAAATGGTTTGACAATTGGGAAATAAAAATCAACGAAAACAAAATTTCACAGGTTATATTTACAACAAAAACAAAATATGATAATATATCTTAATATGCATTTTGATTTTAAACTAACATGGAATCATCATATTGTGAAAAAGCAGTTACAAATTAAAGAACAACAAAGACAATTGTATTGGCTATTGAATAACAAATCTAAATTTAGCTTAAAGAATAAAATGAATAAATAAATAATTCTTATTAAATAATAAATTTCTCAAATATGAGAAAACTACTATGCATATTTTTTGTAACTGTCTAGCTTTAACAACGCACAGAAAAAATTTATTTCTTATAAAACTTCTGTCGCCGAAACAGATTAAGAGCTCTTCTCTATATTTAGATCTGGACTTTGTTCACAAAGTTTTAAAGGGCTTTGTGTAATCAATAGTAAAATTTGTACAATAGGACTCTTCTTGCCACAGTACCGGCTGTTGGGCGATTTCACGTCAAAAATTTTAATTATAATACCTGCATTAGGACAATATTTGAAACAGTTTCCACTAGGAAAAGCAAACT